ACAAAATGCCCAAACGGAACCACCACCACCAACAGCCACCCATATTTGTCGGGTAATTTCGCTCCGATTCGACAGTCTCTCCCACTAACGCCAAGTTCTTGGGAGGGAGAAATCCCTGCCGACCTCGCCGGCGGGCAATATGTCCGAAATGGCAGCAACCCCTTTTCCAATGATGAAAACCGGGGGCGCGAAGCGCACTGGTTCGACGGCGATGGAATGCTCAGTGGCGTTCTCTTCCGGCGGCAGGGGGGAACCAACAGCATATACCCCGAATTTGTCAACCAATATCTCGTGACGGATGTGTTCGTGTACGCCCAGACGAGCCGCTTCCTGAAAAAGCCGATAGTCCCAAGCGTCGCCATGCTTATAAACCCATGCACAACTGCGGTCAAGATGGTACTTGAAGCCCTGCGAACGCTTGTTCTGGTATTTTTGTCTCGTCTCCCTGGCCCGCAACGCGCAGTTAAGAAGATTAGCGTGGCCAACACGGCCGTGCTGTACCATGATGGCCGCGCTCTGGCGACGTGCGAGAGCGGACCCCCGCTGCGCGTTGCGCTGCCGCACTTGGAGACGATCGGATGGTTCAACGGGCGGGCTGCAGAGAACGAGCCGCATGACAAGTCCATCCCGACGAGAAACGGTTTCGGTGGCGAGGGCATGCTCTCGTTCATGAAGGAGTGGATTACTGCCCACCCCCGCGTCGACCATTGGACGGGCGAGCTGATCGCCTTCCATTCCGTCCCTGTCAGGCCGTTCGTGTCCTACTCCATCGTTCCGCCCACCAAGGGCGGCTCAGGGGGTTTGGCGGCACGGCTCCACTCTCCCGTGCCAGGTGTAGCATCACCGAAGATGATGCATGATTTCGGGGTGTCGAGAAAGTATACCGTCATCATGGACTTGCCGCTGTCACTAAACGTGTTGAACCTCGTAAGGGGAGATCCTGTGCTGTCATACGACTCGAAGTCAAGGGCACGGTTTGGCGTGTTTCCGCGGTATCGCCCGCATGCAGTACAGTGGTTTGAGACAAACCCCTGCATCATCTTTCACACTGCAAACTGCTGGGATAGCATCTCAACGTCGTCTTCCGAGACCGGGGCGCGAGAGATAGCGGTCAACCTCCTCGCTTGCAGACTAACCTCGGCATCACTGGTGTTCAGTGCTGGAAACATAGCCCCGCCAGCCGCCGTCGAGCCTGTCCCACCGGAATATGCCGAAGAGGAACAGTGCAGACTGTACTACTACCGGTTTCTGCTCCCCTCACCTTTTTCTGTAGGGAAAATGGAACCAAAAACGGGAATATCTCAACAGTGGGCGCTCTCAGCGATCGCCTTTGAGTTTCCGTCTGTCTCACCTCGCTGCGCCATGACCGAGGCGCGCTTCGCGTACGGCTGTTCGAGCCGGTCTGCGACCTATTCAGTTACCCTCGGAAGAGCAGCCAAAATTGACATTTTGGCCAAGATCGATGTTGCCGTTCTTGTTGCCAGGGGCAAGGCGAATCCGCCGCAAACGATCAAGGGCTGTGTCGATACGCGCTCCGTCCCGGAAATTCTCGCCGATGCAGCCCCAGATGATCCGATCTCACTCTTCGAGATGCCTGGAGGATGGTACGCACAGGAACCGCGCTTCGTACCACGGTCAGATTCCCAATCAGAAGAAGACGACGGCTGGCTTCTGACTTACGTCTTTGACGAATCAACTCAATTAGACGAGCGCGGGAGGTGTCGAGACGACGCCATCAGCGAGCTGTGGGTCATTGATGCGAAGGGAATGAAGGATGTTGTTGCGCGCATCAAGCTGCCCCAGCGCGTGCCATACGGGTTCCACGGGCACTGGTTCTCGGAGGCCGAGATCACCCATCAGCGCCCGTTTGAGCACGTGCGAGAGATGCCGCTGGCCCGGACGGCGCAGGCGGGCAATAATGCGTGGCTTCGAGACAAGCTGGAGAGCTGGCTGGGATGACTGTGTCCGAAGCTAGTAGCTAATAGTGATAGCTGGGAGCAAAGATGCGTCTATAATGAGACCGGAGAGACAACAGCCCGAAATGAAATCTGATTAGAAATACATGATGAAATTCGGACCCTGTCTTGCCACCGATAACAGCAAACTTTTGGCACCGTTCTAGTACTAACGAGTCTATGGACTAGCGGATGTCATGGATAGTGTCGTCACATTTTACATACCTGGCAACGCGTTGATGTGGCACAGATGGGTCAGTTGTTGCAAATGCAAGGAAGTGTCTCTCAGAAGAGTTGAAGGATGACAAAATATACTCAAAGGAGATCATTACTATCGCCCTTCCCCCTTTCCTTCTTATTGACAAAATTCTGCGGCGTTAATTGAATGACAGGACTGAACAGATTCTTGTATTTGAGTAAACGACCACTTCAGTATGCAGGAGGTACGGACCTCGGCTTTCCACTTATAGTAAGCCCGCCCTATGCCAGGGGTAAAGCTTGATGCAAATGTACCCGGACTTGGGCCGGCGTCAGCTTCAGGATGTGACCGTTTCTGCCCGCCAGGTCGCCACACCCACCAATACGCACTTGGTACATCATGAACTGACAAACCATACATAGCACCTCGGGGATAGCCTGCCCCAATGTGATGATATCAAAGCAGTATCTAATCCTTCAAGGCGTAGTATGGATAGAACTAATAGTTAGTAAAAAAGTCCGAAGTTTAAAAGGATTGTCAACTGACTTTGCTCTTGCCTCTTCATAACCAACCAATTAAAAGAGTGAGAAAGACACCTGACCGGCTACGCCGCATTTCGACAACCCGACTCGTGCCGATGATTAGACTCACAGCCCGACTCTCGGTCTTCATATCAGCCCGGGAGACGGACTGGGCCATTTCCGGAAATGATCGCCGCAAGAAGAAGAAATCCCAACCGCTTACTCTCGGGAGCTGAACAACCGTGGAGGGTCGGAAAGCTTCCGATAGAATGCCAATTTCTGAACAAAACTTACTGGCAATTCTGCATCTACCAGATTGGCAACCTATCGTGGTAGATGATAGGCGGGCGACTCAGAGGATCGAAGCAAGCCAGCTTCAACTTGATCGGCATGCGGGCCACGCGCCATGTGCATCCATTTCCTGCCCTATTTGGGCCAAGTCTATTGGACGCAAGGGAGGAAACGTGCCCACTGGGTCATGAAAAGAGACAAAGTCTCCGATGGGTAGGGGGTCAGCTACCCGCGAACGTGCCCGCATGCGTACCTACCCACTTGGCTACGTACCTGAGTATAAAGGCGGCTACCTCGGCCAATGTTTCATTCGTATGGAATGAAAAGTGACGTGAATGTCAGACAGACCTAGCCTTCACAACGGCCTGCTATCCTTAAGATATCATTTCCAGTAACAGACATCATAACCAGCCATGTTCTGGAACCTCCCTTCCTCGCTCCTGCTGATAGGGACAGCCATCACAGCCGCCGCCGCAGCAGCAGCCATAGATCCGAGTGCAGAAAGCCTGTATAGCCGCTGCTCAGACGTGTCCTTCAAAGTCTCAACAACATCCCAAAACGTCAAGTTCGCCTTCCCGCCCGACCCAAACAACGAGACTCAGATCCTCGAGTTCAACAGGCGGTCCCTGACCTTGACGGGAAACCCCCAGAACGGCACCCAGCTCATCAGCGGCACCTTCAACATCGATGGCGTGTACTGCAGGCCGCCGCCCACGGGCGTCCGAGCGCGCGACGACGACGTGCTCGAGATTCTAGTCCACGGCATCACGTACAACAAGTCCCTCTGGTCCGGCCTGGGGCTCGGTGCCCGGTACGACTGGCACGCGGGCGCCAACGCGCGCGGCTACCACACGCTCGCCATCGACCGGCTCACCCACGGGACCAACCCGCAGCATCCCGAGCCGCTGGATGTCGTCCAGGGCCAGCTCCACGTCGAGATTGTGCACGAGATCATCATGGCGATCCGGAACAACACCAGAAACAACGCGCTTGACCGCGGGTTTAGTAAGATCGTTTATGTAGGTGACATCCCCCCCCCCCCCCCCCCCCCTTTTTGCTCTTTTCCAAATTCACACCATGAAAAGCCCCACTGACTAAGAATTATCCATGAGGACAGGTCGGCCACTCCTTCGGCTCCCAGATAGGCCAAACCCTCGGCCACCTGCACCCCAACGACGCCGACGTCTCCGTGCTGACAGGGTACAGCGCCTTCCCCATCATCACCACCTTTGACAACATCTCGTTCGAATCGGCCGCCACCTTCCGACCGCGCCACTTCCACGGCCAGCCGCTGGGAAACATCGTCACGCCCATCGAAGCCCAGCGCACGGGAGCCTTTTACGCGGGCGCGTTCGACCCGGCCGTCGCGCACGCTGATTTCTTGGCAGAGGACACGGTGACGATCGGCGAGATCGCCGCGCTGATCACCATGATTTCATCTGGAGGCGGGGGGTACAGAAAACCCGTGCTGGTGGTCACGGGCGTGGAGGACGCCATCTTCTGCACGCCACCTGCCGCGGTGTGCGCTTCCATCCTGGCGGCTACAAAGGCCATTTTCCCCCTTGCGAGCATATACGAGTTCATCATGCCCGAGAGTACGGGACATACACTGTCGTTGCACTACTCAGCGCCCGAGACGTTGAAGGGGGTGCATGATTTCTTGGATAGGGTTTTGAGGTGATGAAAAACGAAATCTTCAGACATGTTAGTGTGGCGTGAATGCCTATTCATGATTTTTTTCGAATTTCTTTCCGGACCGGACTGGTACGAAGAATGGGAACATGGACATATATTTCGACACGCATGCATGAGTTCCCAAATACAGAGTACTACCGAACAGTTTAGAATAAAAGACGACTGCCCGACTTGAACATCTTTATGGATCTGTAGTTAATTTTACTTGCAGTCGATTGGACGTTGAAGAGAAAAAAAGGTCAGATAACGCATCCAAATGAAACGAGCGATAGGAGTAAACAAACACCCTTCTCGCCTAATGGGCCATGGGGAAGAAGGTAAAAAAGGCAAAAGGTGATTTGCGCGACCCGAGATTCGAACTCGAGTCCCTCGCTGATCCAAGAGTAGATGGGAAGCGAGAATTCTAACCACTAAACTAGCCGCGCTGGATTTGTTGAAAGTGGGTCTGAAACCTTGGCCCACGTACTAAGCCACGCTGGCGTGAATGCGAAGGAGCAGGTAACAAGGAAAGGGGAACAATAAATTGCAGCAATACTTTCTGAATCATACTCAACCTAATATATGCGTCTGAGAGATGATACCGTCGTTCAGGTTATTATGAATGATTGAACTGTCTCTTCTATGAAGATTGGATTGGGCCCTTTTTTCGCTCGGCATCCATCATGCCTGCTGCAAGGCATCCTAGCCTGACTCTATCGTAAGGAGATCTTGGTTTTATTGATAGGCTTGCCATGTTTCTTGAATTTCCAAATGCGTTTAATATTCATTACTAGTATTACCCGATATCAACGACTTTGATAGGTACCGTATACCTGCACTAGCATACTAGTCCCCGTCGACATTATTGTACAGTACATCGCCCATTTCCCTTGCCTTTTCACCACCTTAGCCCACGTGAACTATTACCAGTAACCTCTACAAGCCACAACCGCACCCCCCCCCCCCCCCCCCCCCCCGGCCCAAAATATAGGACAGCCTAACCTCTCCCAAGCCTCAGTCTAGCCACTTCTTTGTCAAGGTGTGTACATTCCACCTCCAGAGCGTTTTCCCTTATCTCGAGGTTCTGGCATCCATCCACCCCGCTCGTTGATATACCGCAATATATACGGCAGGGCTTATAGGTAGGTAGACATGTTGAAGAGCGTCCAGTTGGCGCCACAGATTATACTCTAACCACCACAGGCCAGCAGTTTGTATAGAGCTTATAGCCAATGTCGTGACCGTGATAGTGCTAGACGCGTTGAACTTCGTCGCCTTGACTGCTGTCGCCCTTCGACCGTTGTCGTAGGGGTCCGTTCTGGGGATCTCTTTATACACGGCCGGCTTCATGGTCCATTCCGGGAGCTTCGTCGACAGACTAGATCCAGCTTGTAGTACCCCGTTGGCGGGATGGGCGGTATGGCTATGGTGTGATTATTTCGTCGCCTCCATGATGATGCAGGATGTCGAATCATAGATAAGGATGTCGTTCCGAAGTGGCTGGTCACTTCACCTCCGACTCATCCTGCTGGTCGCCGGGGATGATAATGATGCGCTCATCTTCTTTCTCTGCCCCTGCCCCTGATTTGAGCAGACTCAGATGATTTGCTGCCAATGAATCTCTCGTTTTCTTCAGCAGACCACCGCCATCCTCTTTTGCAGCAGTGGCCAATCCAGCCAACCCCGCCGGATACCGCTCGCAAGCCGTCAGCTCGTTGCACTCCCATACAAGCTGATCCGTGTCGAAATGCACCACTCTTGGCGCCGCCGCCGCTGCCACCATCCGGCTCAAGCTGTTCAGGGGCCTGGGCGCCGCCTCCTTCTTTATCTCAAACGCCTCCCTCCACGGATCCGCATCGACGAGATAAAAATCTCTCTTCTTCTCGTCATCTTTCCCTCCTATCCTTATCTTGAGGGGCCTCAACGCCAAGCGGTTCCGCTCGCGAAACAGTCCACCACCTGCACCTGCCCCATCAACTGACGACGATACCGTGGCGGCAATGTTGAGCAGCGAGTTGCCGTAGATGTGCGGCATCAAACTCGACTCGCGCGCCACGTCGTCTGGGGAGTCCTGCACGATGCACAGCGTGTCGATCCACAGGTACCAGATGCCCAGGCGGCGCGCGGTGCGGATTGTGTCTTGGAAGGTCTGTGACAGGGATGCGAGTGGGATGTTGTTGTTGCATGCTTTGAAGGATGTCATTCGGGCTTTAGTGAGGGCTAAGGGTGACTGTGGGGTGGATGATGATGAGTGAGAGTCCCGTGAGTGGTAAGTGAGAGTTGCGTAGACAACGTCGGGTGGGATGGAATCCCCTTCACAGAGCCGGATCGAGGCGGCTGTGCTTGGGTCGGAGGACGAGATACGGAGGAGGCGCGTTGGGCGGTATGTCCTCCCGGCTTGTTGATGTTTATCAGAAAGGGGAAGAGATGGACGGCGGCAAGAGGCGTGCTTGCTGGAGCAAGTGTGCATCCAGTCCCTCAAGCGGTCGAAACTCGCTTCCGAGTCTGTCCTCGACTCGATATGCACCGACCGGGGGAGGAGGAGGTGCTCAACTTCTGCATTTCGGTTATTACTCCCGGGCTTTCGACTCGAGTTTTTTTTTCATACTATGAGCTATTGATTGTACATACCCTCTGCAGGACGCAGCAAGAACTGCATACTCGGGCCAGTATACTTTGGAATGACTGCCAATGCACTTGGCTTGCGTCTTGATGCAGGCGCCATCGACAGATAGACGGGAACGATCGGACCAGAGAGCAGCCCAGCGGCCACGAACTGGCGATACATGGCCTGGTAGATCGCGCAGCTATGACATCCGCTGTTGGCACCCGCGTCGATGGACGGAATGTCACGCGCAAAGCCAAGCATGGACGCCTGGCTGAACTGCGCCTGGAATGCCGTGCACTCTTGGCAAGACGAGGAGGCGTTATCCACCATTGTCATAATCCCTGCTGCCATCCTGTTACAGATGCTGTTGCAGAGTCCCATTATGTCGCCGCGCTGAGTTTTCGGTGTTCAGGAAGGGGTCAGGACTCAGAATGCATGACTATTTTCTTTTCTAACATTTTTTGGGGGGTGCTGTGAGATTTCTCTTCGGCGGCAAGGTGCCGACCGTTCATCTCATCTCCACACGACTCATGGTCCCCTGATTAGCCCCCTGTTCTGCCTAGCCAAAACGTCATATATAAAATCCGAACGGCATCCATCGCGCTTACCACTTTTCAGGGGTCCAAATCCCCATTTGGATCAATGTTTCTGCTAGCGGGCCTTGGCGACCACAGGTTGGGCGCACCTCTAATCATAAATACGAGAAACTGTCCATGCAAATTCGCGTGCAGGCAATCGCGTCTACCTTCCTCCATCGTTCGCGTCTGCGCGGTTACTTTGATCAGTTTGGTTTAGGTCCTGGGCTGATAGGGGGTCAAAACGACGTTATCTTCCTTCTGGGAGTCTGGTTGATTCCACATCTTCTTGGTCTGTGCCGTCGAGCTAGTACCAAGGCTTAGCTCGCTTGGCTTACGGTGTGGGTAGGGGGCCATTAGGATTGCGGCCCAGTGCAGTGTATTAAAGGGGATATTTGGGGGATACATTATGGAGCCTATGAGCTGACTCTGTTGTTGGTAGCTCTAAGGCTCTGCTCAATACCTCGGTAAGTTCTCCAAGCCCACCCATAAAACCACTCTTTTACACATTCATGCTTGCAGGTCTGACTTGGAGTCCCAAAGTTTGTAGGAAGGCCACGTGCTCGTACTTTTAAGCCAGGTCAATACCGACTTTATATGCCTTGTTGATTGACACCATTTCAGCGAAGTAGCTGAATTGGGACTGCCCATGTGGGGAAAGAATCAGCATGGTTTAAGAGGGCTCGGGGGTTTGAGGGTTCCGGGTTCGAATCACCCTTGGCTTCCAATTTTTCAAATTTTCAGTCCTTTTTCATTTCTTTTTTAAAAGCTATCGACAAACCAATGCACTCTCCAAATGAAGATTGCTTCTTAAATGTCCCCACGCAAACAACTTTGGTCGTATAAGAATGATTCCAAAGCCTGAAGCACCGATTGCAAGCTGTTTCGACCACCACAGACAGCCTGCGGCACAGGTTGCACCTCGCCGAGCATTTACACAACGGCAGTTGGGCACCACTCATGGACAACAATCGCTAACCACGGGGCCAGATGACTAAGTTTCATCGTGGCCAAAAACGAGGACAGTCGCGTGGTGTCATCCTACCCAAAGTGAGCACCTCGAAACTTGGCGTGGGTAGGGTTTCATGTTCGTCAGAGTGTCCCCACCCCCCGGTCAGCTACTAAATGCGGAAGTAATGATTACAGGATTGATGCTTTACTTGACGAGGCTGTGGAATCATTGGGATGTGAGAATCACGATATATACTCATCTCATATCACAGAAGAAATGGCGAGCAACTCTGAAGGAGATAACGATCCGATTTTATCACCCATTTTTTGCCCTCTCGCTTTACCATTCTTTCACAATCGTTGATCGATTGCCCGCCGATCAAGTCCATCCATTTTTAATTAGTACTCTTTAACTCATCATCAACAATGCTTCCCGGTCTTACCCGTCTTTCTTCCGTGGCCTCTTTGCTACTACTCTCTTTATCGCCACTCCCAGCTGCTGGCCAGGCATCATCATGCGGAAACCCGCAATCCAACAACTCAACTGCTTCCGTAGCCGGCAAGGCAGTCTACTTCATCACCAATGACCAGGTCAACAGCGTAGTTGCTCTACCCATCGGAGCCGATGGAACTCTCTCGCCCGGGACCGTAACCGCAACCGGCGGAGCTGGGTCAGTCGCTCTGAACAGCAAGAACGAGCCCGCCACCCCCGACGCGCTGGTCAGCCAGTCTGCTTTGACCCTCGCAGGACAGGTAATTTTACCATCATCTATACGAACCCAAACTTTTCCCCAGACACCCCAAGTCTGGTAACCCTCCCTCCCTCAACTAACCATACGCCGACGCAAACAGTTCATCTTCGCCGTCAACGCCGGCTCCAACACGCTGAGCATGCTATCCATCTCGCCCTCGGACCCAACCCGCATCTCCCTCGTTGGCCAGCCCGTCGCCGTGCCAGGCGAATTCCCCAACACGGTCGCCGCGTCAGCCAAGCACAGGCTCGTCTGCGTGGGCATGACGGGCGCCCGCGCGGGGATCTCGTGCGCCAGCTTCTCCCCACGAAGCGGCCTGGAAAAAATGGACGCGCTGCGCGTGTTCGACCTCGGGCAGACCACGCCGCCCGTGGGACCGACCAACACCGTCTCGCACGCATTCTTCTCGGCCGACGAGTCGACGCTGTTCACCACCGTCAAAGGGGACCCGCCGACCAACAAAACGGGTTTCTTATCTGTCCTGCGCGTGGTTACTACCAAAGGTAAAAAGAGACGCGGCGGCGCTGTTGCGGCAAAGATGGACACTCGCAGCACGCCCG